TAAGTTTGCCAGAAATTGTTACAATTTTGCTACAACTAAAATTGCTTTATGAAAAAGTATTCCATAAGCCGTAAGGTGAAAGGGGAGGGAAAAGTTATTGGTTGGTTTCACTTATTAGTTAAATAAGTTTATGAAATTTTACGCTGAAAGCTATACAAAGGAGTGCTCGTGGCGAAGGCAGGCAAGAGCCGTGAGGCCATGCACCGGTTGTTGTATTTAAGAGTGTTTTGCGTACAATGAAAAAGTGTAGCGGGCAACTTAATTGCAATTAATTTGTTAGGGAAATGAGAAATTAATACATGGAAGGGGACTAACTGGGTCACTGAAGGTAGTTTAAGAATTTAAACTGAATATTTTTTTTAGCATTATAAAGAGTATTTTTGCTTTCTTTTTCGATTTGTGGCTATTAAAATCGAACAAATCGTATAGATTTAATTTTTTATTTTATCCAAGATTTTTTATTTATTATAAAGATAAAGACTTGTCCTTACGTTTTAAGAATGCTGTCGCGCATTCATTGCGCCATTCGTTCCTTCCTTTTGCTGTTAGAAATACCAAGTATAGCCAGGTCCTTCTCTTTCTCCGGCTTTCACCGGCGAGTATTCCATCGAAAACCTCCAAAGCTAGAGCATTCGCATCCATCCGGAAACTACCATTAACGCAGAGCAAAAATAATCTGGACTTTAAATGAATAAAGTGCATTTATGTGTGTGTGTGTGCATATTAAATTACAGTACAAAAATAATCTGCTTTTGTATTGCAAATAAATTTAACTTGACTATCGAAATACCAGCTCAATAAACCAAACTAGTTAACTTTATAACTGAACATTTGATACGCATTACTTAAGATACACCAACAAAAGGTATGCGGTGCTTGTACAAATATCAAAGTCCACTTACAAACACTTGTGCAAGTTTGAGGTCACAAATACTAAAATTTTAAATTGCTTTGGTCTTTCATGCATGACAGGAAGTTACTGTTAAATTAACATTTACTGATACATCCCATATGCAATATATGAGTATTCGAAAGGAATCATATGCATCATCGTTAAACCACATACTAACTATATATTTATATGTATGTGCATGCCAGTTCATGCATACATATACGTACGTATTTAATCGAATATATGTATATGTGTAGTTATGTATGCATATGCTTATGTGTGCAAAATATCTTCATATGTACGAGGAGCTTAACAAAAGTTTGTTAAGTTGATAAAAAAAAATAAACAAATTCGTATTTATTCGTAATATTTGGCTTTTTTTATCTTCCCCGCATAATCGCCTTTGATTTCAATGTCTTTTCTAAGCCTGGATCTATCCACTTCTGGCTTTTTGAGCTTATCAAGTTCTGCATTATCCGCATTTACTACCTCCTCGTTGCTATCACAGACCTTTCCTTTTGAACTTTTTTTTTAATTTTTGAAAAAACCCAAGGTGCTATATCCGGCGAATATTATGCTGGACGTATGACGTCGATCCCAGAGATCGCAACAAAATTATTCGTTATTTCAGCAGTGTCTTATTGTATAAAATAGCGCCTCAAATCCTTTTTCTTCCTGTTTTTTTAAACAAATTTTTGAAAACCTTTAGTAAGCACGCTTCGATGTACCAATTAGCAGTTACCATTATACCCATTTCCAGTATAATAGCAGCTACGATTTTAGATCGGGGTGAAGTAAACTGACATCATTACTTTTGCTGCTATTGAGCTCCATACCATGGACTGCTGTTTGGTTTCTGAATCGTAGTTATAGAACTAATACTGGTCACCAGTAGCAACTTTACTAAAGTTGTAAGACTGACCATTTTCCAATACGGTTGGGAAAAACTAAGCAAAAAGCACTTGAGCCTCTTTTTGGGCCTTGTTTAAAATTCGTGATAGTCATCGAGCAGATTTGCTCGCGTATCCCAGCTGATTACTTAATATTCGCGATACAGCTATGGCATTCAAGTCCAATTCATTAGCAATCACTTCTTGTGTCAATTTTGAACTTCAACAGTGCTACAGTGACGCCTTCAGTGGAAGATTTTGCTCGACATACTCGAAGCTTGTCCTCTATGGAAGAAAGTCCAATCTGGAATGCTTGGAACCCCTTAAAAGTGGACTTTTAAAATGGCGCAATCGTTTCATATGCAATTTGGCATTCACTGAATATTTGTACTGTTTGCGTTAGTGGTGGAGCTTCGTCAAAGCTCTCCTATCTTGTGTTTCTACGTGTCCATTTTAACCAATCATTTTAAAATTTGAAATGAAGACTTATAAAGTAATCCGCAAGGATTTGGTATTTTAAGATTTAACAAAAACAAATTGATCGAACTTTTTGTAATACCCTCGTATCTAGATATTAAATGTAACTACTTCTATCCACTCGCATTTCCTTCTGTCGCCCAGCAGAACCGACTCAATAACTTTGCGAGCCAATCAATTCATTCAAACACTGAGTATGAGTGAGTATGAGAATTTCCACTTAAATGATACTGTGGACAGCCCAAACTGTCTGGTTTAAAATAATTCAAAATAATGGTCAACAGAAGGTACTTCAATTTACCTCGCTATGATTATATTTGCAACATAAAACGTACGTAGTTGTTTCTACACACATATATGCCTATATATAATAACACATCAATATAAATATACATATGTATTTTAATTTAGTTATCGTCGTATGTATTGGTGCAGACAACTCAATTTTGAAGCGTTATTTGGGTCAAACGCATAAATTTGTCATGAGTACCTTAAGCACTTAACCGCAGACACAGATATAGGCAAATGTTGCATCTCTGTAGGGAAAATAGTAGTTTGCTAAATTGCGTACTTTACGCATACCAACTACTGCATTCCTCCATTTTTTGTTAGCGATTGTTGTTTTCGACACGGCTTTTTTCTATGAACTGTCAATCACACTACTATACTTCAGTTTTATACTAGTTAAATACTAGTTCACTAATCTATCCAAATCTACTTTTCGCCGAAATAAAACTCAAAAAACACGGCCTTTGACGGTATCCAAACCTCGTATCTCATGTCTGGCAGGAACAAACACTAAGCTAGGGATATTAGGAAATGAAGCGCTCATCAAAACTAGCACCACACCCCTTAGAAGTTGTGATGGAAAATGTAGTTCCCCCTTACTTGCGCCCCACTAACCAACGGCAAAGTTTTCGCAAGTTCTACTGGGTATATAAGTTTCGATGATTGCGGAGTTGTATGCAAATACGAACATATTGAGTTTGGTCATAGGTAAATAATCAGTTGGAAAGACATTTTCATACGAATGAATGAACAGCATATTATTTATAATAAGAGGAAGATGGAAAATTATTGACATAAATGTTCGAAATTTTTACGCTGCCGTATTAGAATATATTGGCCGAACGGTATGCGAGGGCATTTATCAATATGTAAAATTCTACGAACAGATGTGTGGACTTAGTGAAGCTTTCAGGATAAAGCGAACCTATTCCCTCAATCAATAGAGATGGAACAGATGCTTTATTGTCTGACTATGAAAAAGTTCAAATAGCAATCAGCAGCTTGAAAAGCAAGCAATCGGAGGGGAACGATGGACTGCCGGTCAAGCTACTCAAATATGGCGACATAGAACTGACAAGGTCAAACTTGCAAAATTTGTTCCTACGATTTGAATCTTAGTCTGCTGAATTCACAAAAAGTGGTACCCCAGTGATCCTCTGCGTCAATTATGGTCTGTTAAGCCTCTTTAATATCGTATATAATAACCTACCGGGCGAATTGTGTTAAACAAATGATTGGATCTTATTAGTATCACGTCAAGTATTGGAAAATACTCGTGGAAAAAAAATTTACGTATCAGCACTTCGTCGATTTTAAATCACACGACTGTATAAAATAACGTTGAACACAATCTTCAGCTCCGTCCAGATTGGCAAAGAGCTCCCAGATCCGTTCGAAACCAAACGAGGTGCAGGTGCTAACTTAGGATCGATAATTTCAAATAGTTTCAATGTGAGCAGGAAAATATCACCTTGAGATAAAGGAAGCTCATACAGTCATGGGTCGTCTTAGGATAGAACCTTTGTCAGGCAGACAAGCAGAGAGACTGAGCGTACTATTAAACGATTTCTATGGAAGTTGGCGTCGACCCCAACAACCACTTCATTTTAAGCTATCATTACAAAATTGCAAGATATCGGATATTGGATGTCATTGAATATATATATACATGTATATATTATATCTTTCACTTTATAAACTGACTTACAGCTCGATAAACTAATTAAATAGAAATCAAAATTTTAACGATTATGGGCGTAAAAGACCCAAAAATTTGTTGCTCAGCTTGATAATAAACTGTATCGCTCTACATATGCCGCTTTCTCCGCTTTACTTTACACCAATGCTTTCATACAGAATTCTCTACTGAATCTCACTGCTCTTTTATACCTAACAATTTGTCGCATGCACCTTTTGATGGTTGAATGTTCTCGATAACGCACATTCGATACATGCGCTCTAGAACATGCTTTTTTATTGGTCTCTTCCGTTCATCTGACATACGTATTTGCATTTTCATTGAGGAAAGGCTGGACGAATTCTTGAAAACAAATCATTATCTTGAGTTCGCTCTAATTTTCTATTTGAGAATAAATTAAATTAAGAATTTTTTCGATATAAACTCAATTTCAAATATATTTTGTCACGGAAATTTTAAAAAATTCATTCGCCCATGCTACTTATTACTGAAAACCAGTTTCAAGTCCAATTCGACATTTATTTGAAATACATACTGAGTAAAAGTGGCGAAAGCTATACGACACATTTCCATCGATTAGCAAAAATTGGAAACAAAAGTTTCTTATTATTTTTCAGAAATAATGGTAAAAGGTTAAACAATAAATTTAGCCCAAATATCCACTTTTCTAATTTTTCAAGAATTAAATAATAATTAATTTCCGCTTAAAAATTTATAATTTATTTAATTATGACTTTTTTATTTCTTTTTACAGATGTTGCAGCGTTAAACAGACAAATAGACTAGATATTAAACAAGCAAAATTAACTTCGAGTTTTACTCAAAGCTTTAGAAAAGCAAACAATAAATTACTTCTCAGCAAATTAAAACCAAATCCATAATTTATACACAATAACAATTATAGTTAGACAAAATATTATAATACAAAATTAAACACATCATTAGACACAGCAAACACGAGTGAGAAATCAAGCAAAAGAATAAGTGGAATAAAACTAAAATAAAATTAAAATTGAATTCCACTCTTGAAATCACTTCTGTCCCATTATCCACCATTGCGAGTGTTAGCAAAAAACCAACACTAACCTAATACTCATTGAATATTATGCAAATAAACGGCACTTCTTCCGGTCCCACAATGGCTGCGTCTGAGCCACCAGAACCACCGCCGCGCAATCCGGATCGCATTAATGCTTCGCTACACAAACTGAGCGAATCTGTAAGTACACATTCATACCTACATACCTAGCATAGTAGATGCATACAACTTATGTATGGATTTTTTCAAACCCACTTCCCACAAAAAAGCAATAACGACAAATATACATATATATATATAAAAGAAATATTAAAAAAAAAAGAAAAGTTAACAAAGAGCACATAGTAAACGTAGAAACTTTCTTTCTCTTTGTTCAATATTTTCACTATTTTATATATATGTACTTGCATGTGTTTGTGCGCACTTTTTTCCACAATATTTGATCTTATAGCAGCAAACAAAGAAATTGTAAGAAATGCGAGAATATGAAAAAAATTTGAAACTTTTTGCATGCCCTCTGTCTCTTTCTCTCTCTCTCTCTCCATTACTCTACCTCCTGCGCTCTGCACGCTATTCATTGCATTATTTTCTTCACCATAAACCATCCTTGTGCATCCTCGAAAATATTCTAAAATGTATATATGCGTGTATGTATGCATGCATACCATACGCATTTCTTCTATATTACTATATATTTATTTTCACCTATAAAACATAATATTTGCTTGCCTTCTCACCTGTAGCTCATATTCATATGTGTTGGAAAAGAATGTGTGCGTGTGCACAAAGAATTTCTTTGTGCTCGCTCGTTCAACCGTCTCTCTTTTCACACACCCCCTATATATCCTAATAACTTTAGATTGAATTTCCCTTGGCATTGCCACGCTTCAGACATATAGAGAAACTTACACTTTTTGTTCAACTAAATTGGTGAAATAGTTTTAACCTTTTGCATGTGTCCTTGCTGCTGTTTGTATGGAGAACTCCACAGCCTATGTTGGAGTAATTTTTATTGAAATTTATTCATTTAATGTTCTTTAATTCTGCCAACCAATGTTTTTATTTTTGCACAGTTTCTGAAGCTTAAGTTAACATAAATGTAAAAAACGTAAAAAAATATATAAAAAAACAGAATGGGAAAATAAGATAAAATTAAATAAATAAAAAATTATGTGAATAAAATAAAAGAAATGAAGTAAAATAAAAAAGCAAAATTAAATAAAAGTAGATTAAATAATATTCTGTAAAGAAATTTAAGTAAAATAGAACAAAATGACAAAAAATAAAATAAATTAAGATATATTAAAATAACATTAAATTACATTAAATAAAATAAAATAAAATAAAATAAAATAAAATAAAATAAAATAAAATAAAATAAAATAAAATAAAATAAAATAAAATAAAATAAAATAAAATGAAATGAAATGAAATAAAATAAAATTAAAATTTAATAAAATAAAATAAAATAAAATAAAAAAAAAAATAAAATAAAATAAAATAAATTTATATGAAATAGAATAAAATGAAATAAAAAAGCAAAATATAGTCAAAAATAGAAAAAAATTAATTTAAATAAATTAAACTGAAATAATATTGAATAAAATGAAATAAAATAAAGTAAAATAAAAAAATAATAATATATTAAAAGTACATGAATAAAATAAAATAAAAAAATTAAATTATAATAAAATAAATCGAAACAAAATTAAATTAAATACAGTAAATTATAATAAAATAAAATAAAAGAATAAAATAAAATAAGATGAAATAAAAAAACAAGGTAAATAAAATAAAAAATTAAATTACATAAAAAAGAGTTAAATAAAAAAATTTTTGAAATTAAGAAACTACAACCGCCTAAGCCGTCTTCAGCTTGTACGAGGTTTAACAATTTTCCTTGATGAAGGAAAAGCCATACCTTTTTTACTGATTTTAGAAACTTCTTACGGAGAGCGTGAGCGGTTGTCGAAAAAAATAAGTTTTTATATTTAAATTTAAAGATTCATTTTGGGACTAGTTTTTACCAAATTTTAGGATGTCCCACCATATAAAAATCGAAATCGATCATTTTCTTAAATATCTCCCACTTATACATACTAAAAGAATTTACAATAGAAAGTTGCAGTCTTCTTAATTTCTTTTATTACTTCAACATTTTTCTCTTAATACTGATGTGAAGGTAATAACGAAAAAAAGAAGGTCACTAATTTAAACTTCTTTCCTTATTTGCAGAAAAATATCAAATCACTTGACTCAAGCATAGCGACGATTAGCGAAAAAGCGATCAACAACAATAAACTATTAAAACCGATTTTATCGTTAGATCACGGAAACAGCGTTATAAACAACGTCTCAATTTTCACCGGCAACACAGTCACCACAACACCAGCTACAAGTGCGCTAACAGCAACGAACAGCAAAAGCGCTACATCAGCTGGTGCCACTTCCAATACAACTACAGCTACAACATTATCTTCCACCGCTGCAGTGGCGGGTGCACAACAATCAATTACACCACTTGTATACACGAAACGTACCACAGTAACAGCAGCGGCAGCGGCAGCGCATGCACCGGCAACTACCGCAACTACAGTGACTACTGCCGATATAACGCCTGGTGTTAACGCCAGCGATAGCGTCTCACCGCTCAGTTCGAATGGCAGCAGCAGTAATCAGACGCTCATCTCACCAATGACGATCGATAATCAACAGCATCGCCTGAGCTTTCCCAATAAAAACGAGGTGCATGCAGCACTTATGGCGGCACAGCAGCAGCAACAACAACAACAGCAGCAACATTTAAATGGTGCTACAACAACGACTACGGCAACAACAGCGTTGCTAAATGGTGGCAATGCTACGAATAATGTGGGCAGCAATGCCTTAAATGCGAATAATCCGAATGCGAATTTAACGTCGGCAACTTTGGTGGCGGCAAATCATACGAATTCAGCAACTGGTGCAGGTAGGTCGAAAGGACTTATTTGTACAGGTGTAGAGTCTTTATATTTTAGTTTTAATATTTTAAAATGTTAGATTGGGTGCTTGGGTGAGATACTAAGTCGGTTTCTGTTCAGTGCATTTGAGAAAATTTTAGCGTAAAAATGGATGATCTCCAATTTAGCTTTAATATAGTAGTCAAAAAGGCAGAAGGAATTCATCTAAACTATTTCTATGAAGAATCAATGGAAATATTTTGTGACGATTGCTCTGTCTTCTAATTTATAAGAGGACTACTTCATTGCAAGCCCCGAAAAATATGAAGATTTCGCTCATCCACATTTTCCCCAGTTTTCTGAGTATTCAAATTCTTTATTGAATTGAATAAAGAATTGAGATATGTCTCGAATCTTCAACATAAGGACTCTCTGTCCACATAATACCAAAAAAATTAAAGTGGATATAAGCCTGACTTCCATGTTTATACTTGATATTAATACAGAATCTAATCTGGTTGGAAAGTTCAAACTGAGCTTTAATTTTTATGATTTTGAGCCTAGGTTCTTCTCTTTTTTATATCTTTACTGCCATTCCAATTGATGGGCAGCACAAGAGTCGATATTCTCTATTGAGGGGTAACCACATTTAAAGGAAAGATTTTCTTTAATTTAAAACGAGTCCTTGGCCCTCCGGATAGTAGCACGCACTCTATATCATCGATTAAAACCATGGAGCTTTCGGAGAAAGTCTGTTTAACAGTACTTGGTTTATACTCCGTTTGGTTTGTCAATTCAGAATGAGTTTTCGAAATGCCATTATACATTCAAACAGTCACAGTTCAGTGTGCTCTATGCGGCGAGCATGATATAACAATCAATGGGGAATGCTTTAAAGCCATGGTAAATTACCTACTCCTATCTGTATGGAAGGATGTTGATGTGAACGGTCTGCCAAGAAGACTGAAGTCGCTTGTCGATGCAGATAAGCTTGAGACTTGCTGCCACTGCTGACATGCTGCAACAAATGAAAATATTCGAGCCAGTCACGGCGGCTTTAATCCGAAAAAATTTTTAAAATAGAATGGCAAACATGTAATTTTGTAATGAAGCAAGACTCATGGCTTTACTATTAAATTATATGCGTTTACTCACATGTCTTTAGAAACACCCTTTATGACACTCTCTACACAAACTACTTTTGCCTGCTCAAATTATTAATTTTTAAGTCAAATTATATTCCTACCTTGTTATAAAACCAAAATTAAATCTCTAATTTTCATTAGTAAAAATAAAACAAATAGTTCACCACATGAAATGCAACGAATTTCAATCAAATTAATTCTAATTGCTGTTGTCACAAAATTTCAACAATTTCCACAATTTGTGGCTAATGACAGCATTTTAATTAGTTTTCACGAAATCATATTATCTTCCAATTCAACCTGAAGGCAAGTGAAGAACGAAAAATGTGGCTTTTTGAGTTATTGGCAATAAAATTGCAAAACCTCAAATGAACGTGTAAAAAACAGTGTGAAAAATAGTTTGAACTGAGTATTTCAATAGCAAGTTTAGCACACAAGCAAATTGATGAATTAGTAGAAAGTGTTTTTCGAAAACTTCTAAGACCATTAAATACTACAAATGAATGAATGTGAAATACTTTTGTCTACATTTGTAAATTGCTGGAATGTTATACCTACATACTTTTTACTGTTCTATTCTTTTAAATGCCAATACGCCACATCATTAATGTCACTCATACGTCCCGGTGGTCACATTAAATAAGCAACCCAGCATATCTTATGTAAAATACAATATTCAAGTGAATTTGTATGTTTGTGGCGCCAAAAGATACTATTTTGGTAAAACTCTTTATCTGTTCACATACACATCCACACACAGTCATCAATCATATGCACACAAATTTCGACATAAATTTTCATTTCCATGCTTGTTAAATTAATATTTACGTTGTTTTTGTGGCATGTTTGCCACATATTTGTTTGTTTTTTTTGGTGTTTATGTTCGTACTCTACTAAAATATGTAGACCTATTAGCTTTCTATTTCGGTAGTATATCATTTTTATGGTTTATGCTCTGGCAAATGACGATATTTTGTATATTTATTTATTTATGATCAGCTATTATATTCAATTGTGTGCCTTTTAAGGTATTAAATGAAATGCAAATGAAACGGCTTCATGTAAATTTTAATAGTAAAGTTTAACTATTTAAATCAAAGTAAAGGCTTCATTTTCATATTTTAAAATTTAGGTGAGAATTTTCAATCTCAAACTAACAAACGCATGATACGTGGCATATCCAGACAACTCTCACGATATCAGGTTTAGTGAACAGCTTTGAGTTCCTGAATGGAACCTCAATCCCTCAAACTAGGGTTGATCAAAATCCGTGTCATCTCGGTTGTCGTTGAAATCAACCCAGATCCGACGAATTACCTTTGATGCGTGTACTACAAACGTCTCCATCATTCTTCCAATTCGGTACCATATGGGCAGGGTAATGACTGGAGTCGTCCTTAGACCTGATCAGACCTTAAGGCACACAGAGAGTTGGCCACGCCTAACGTGGCCGTCGCTCAATTGCGCCGCAAGCCGTCACAGTAGTATCTTTTGCACCCTTACCCAGTTTGGGTAACTACCCTCAGACTCACAGACGGAAGTCTCACCACCACTTCTATCTCCACCCAGTTCCAGCTTCACGTCCACCACCTGGGCGATGGCTACCGAATAGCTCTTAGTGCGCTCGAAGCTCAAGAAGAAAACGTTAAATGTGCTACCCTATATTTCACTTTATCAGACATAAATGAAGGTAAAAGCCACTTTGACTTATAATATTTGAATATATTAAGAAAGAACGCAGAGATTAGTCTTCATCTTAGGGTAGATAACCAGTGATCAGTCAGCTGGCATATAAGTTGATGAAGAGGAAGTAATATGTAACCAGCTAAGCTTCATTGAGAAGAATCAGACAGATGCCCTCTAGGTAATTCCAATCGGATCCCAAAAAAGGAACCGTTAAGAAGAGGGTTCAATAAAAGCTCAGTTCAAGAAACTTAAACATAATGAGACTCAGTCGGCAGCCAACTCATGTATACAAGAGATATAGTGACCCATACTAAACCTGAAGGTATTCACTAAGATTTTCATCATTTTCCCAACCGATTCCAAAGTAATTACTTTAAAGCCGAAAACTTGTCTTGCATGTTAATATTCAGGAAACTCGCAATTATATTTACTTTATGTACATTTTAACGAACATTTTAAGAATATTCTTATTTCATCATAATAGTTATATCCAATATCCACTTTTATTTACTTCTTTACGGAACTTAATTAAAAGAAAACCCATATCGAAACATAACTATTTTCTAGGCAAACACAAAAACCAAGAATATTTATATTTTTGCGAAGTATCATAAAAAGATTTGTATGTACATTTGTATGTAGTTTTATATGCTTCATGCCAAATATGCTGTGTAAACTGATGCCATATAATTTGCTTGTTGCCAGGTATGCAAACAATTTTGTGCAATTTACACAAAAATTGTAAACAGAAATACCAACAGACACCAGGTCATAGCCATACACATAGTTTCATATGAGTGCACAATCTCCCACATGCCTGCAGCTGCCTGGATTTTAGGGTGGTTTATTTATTTTATCTTAATTATTTCTACAACTACGATAGCAACATCGTTTTGTTCTAAGGGCAAGGCTACGTGTTTTTGTTACCGCTAAAGCGATTTGCGGCCGGGCTTCTACTCTTATTTGGTTTCATTCTGTTTATTTTGTTCAGCATAACGTTTTTCCAAATAATGGTGAGACCTAAGGTTCATTCAAACCGCTGTGCAACAGCCGAGCGATTTTATGTCATGCCAGGAACACACTTGACATTTACTGCCGATGTAACGAAAGGGAAATATTTGGGAAATATAACGAAAAGGAAATCTTGTGGGACTTTTCTAGTTATTTTCTCGCATTTTAGGGGAGAGAAATTTTCAGTGGGACACTTTAGAGGACTGCTGATTTCCATCAACTACTTCAACTTTACACACTACGTGCGACATATTGAAAGGGTGCAATCATGATTAAGATGACTCAAAAATATTGGATGAGTGCATAAGTTCGTTCCCGGATTAACCTCGAGCTTGATGACGATGTTCTAAGGACTTTAGTTGCGAATAACTCACGTATTTCGACGGAAGAGGTTGCCAGTGAATTGAACGTCAACAAATCAATTGCGTTTCGTCGTTTAAAAAAGGTTGGGTACACTTTGAAGCTCGATACATGGGTGCCACATTAGTTGAATGAAAAAAACAAAGTGGACCGTATCTCAACGAACCTTTTTTGGATCTGCTCGTGACTGGTGATGAAAAATGGATGCTGTACAACAATGTTCAACGCAAAAGAACATGGAAACAGGCACACGAAGAGGCGGAACCGATGTCGAAAGGTGGATTGCATCCGATGAAGGTACTGCTGTGTATTTGGTGGGATACCCGAGGCGTGATCTATTTTGAGCTCTTGCCGGCTGGAGAAACGATCACTGCCAACAAGTATTGTCAGCAATTGGTCGAATCGAAGAAAGCAATCAATGAAAAACGTCCGATTTTGGCCAATCGCAAAGGAGTTCTTCAACAAATTTCCATTTTAGTTTGCACTTGAAATCGGGCACGAACTTATGCACTCATTCAATATGTTCAATTCACATTCAATTCACAAATAATTTTTTTATTTAAATATGTACTTATATACTAGAATTTGGCTGTGACTTCGTCCGCATGCAATTTTAATTTAAAACTTCTCCATGCATTGACATTGTCAAAGAGCTATTAATTTTCTATGTATTAAGCAAATCCAGACCAGATCTAGTGGATTCCCCATCAACATCCCTCAATTCTGGCACGAAAAAGTCATTAATCATGGCTCTACAGCATTCCTATTGACTGTTAAATCATGGCCGGCTTCATTTTTGAAGAAATATGGAATCGTGATTCCCCACC